AAATGGATTCAGAGTTTTGTAGCATGCTTGGATCCAGAGCTTTCTCATACCAAGATTATGAAAAAAAAATCTCCCCATTTTTTTCTAGCTTTGTTGGGGTTTTATATTTTCTACATGCAGGTATGTGAGCCATCTGGTATTTATTTTGCTGTAAGGAGGCGTAGGAATCCCTGTACTGTCCCGAACCTCTGTGGCTACGCCTTTGTCCCAGGCCCATTTACCGGATAACACGTACTCTGTGGTGTTAGGGAAATTCTTTCATTTGACAAAGGCTTGTTTAAAGTAATTGTCCTAATAGCGGAGTCCTGAGCGACGGAGTCAGAGCTGTAGGTGCTGCCCCGAGTTGGGGGGGGGGGGGCTAGTTGACACCTCTGCCCTCCCTGGGTGTGAGCTGATGACAGCTAGTGCTGTGTGAGCCAACACAGCGTGGACCTCGGACATCTGGAAGGGCCTGCCTGCCCTGTGTGCTGGGGTCTGGTGGGACCTGCACACCCTGTAGGTGAAGAAAGCCAGAGGTGGCCAGGGCTAAGATGGTGTTTGGGGCCAGCCTGGACAGTGCTCCAGTTTGCACAGTCCAGTTTGCACTCCGCTTCCTCAGTCCCATGCTCACGGCCACCCGGGTGAGCCGCCTCAGCCTACAGGAGGAACGTGCCAGGCCCCTGGCCTCCTGGACTGCGGTGTCTGTGGGGGGAGCCGCTGAGGACATGGGGGTGTCATGGGGGAGAGGGGCGTGCACGGAGTGGCTTGTGAGGGCCTATCTTACCCTCCAAGCTGAGATGAGAGCAGAAAGCTGCACCGCACTCCGGCTGGCTCCGTCTCCGGGTCCTGAGGAGACGGTGTAGAGCATGTTCTAGACAGAGTCCCAGGGAACAGGAAGGCAAGGCGGGCCAGGCTGGGCAGATGCACTCCCGCTGAGTGCGCCCCATCCGTTCCTTTTCTGAAGCTGCCTTAACCCACACCTCCTGCCAAGTTGGCTATTCCCGTTGGGCCAGGTGCGGCACTGCCGGTGGCCCGGATGGCAGGCCCGGGCGCCCCGCATGACTCAGTCTGTTCCGCCCCCCGGTCCCTCTGCAACCACCCTCCCCCCGCCCCCGGCAGGCCCCAAGGCCCCATCAGCACTGCAACACTGGGGCTGGGCAGCCTGAGTTGTGTTGCTACGGCTTTGGAGTGATGCCAAAAGGGACCCTGACAGTGGCATGTGTCCCAGTACCCTGTTCCAGAGCAATAGTGACACTAATCATGGCCATCCCTTTTTCCCTGGTTGTAAGGTTTCTTCTGCCTAGAAGAGAGTGCCAAGGCCAGAGAGCACAAGGGTGTGAGGATGATGAACCCTGGTCTCAAAGTGAGGCCCTCCACGACTGGGCCTCACTCTCTTTACTCAATGGCCATGAACTGGCCTAAGAAGCCCTAACTGGGAATAAGAAGCTGGGATTTGGTCTATTAGCTGGCTGGCTAGGAAAAAGCTTTCCCCACTCTAGGCCTTGTTTTCTTCATAAATATGGTTGGGTATTGGATTAAACCAGTGATTTTTTTTTTTTTTAAGACTTTATTTATTTGACAGAGTGAGAGAACACAAGCAGGGGGAGCAGGAGACAGAGGCTGAGGGAGAAGCAGGCTCCTGGCTGAGCAAGGAGCCCCACATGGGGCTTGATCCCAGGACCCCATGCACCCAGCCGAAGGCGGATGCTTAACAGACTGAGCCACCCAGGCGCCCCAGTGATTTTCATTTTTAACACCCTTGACAAACGGAATTATTTCAAAGAAACTCACTTATGTAAGTGTTCGGTGCTGGGGCACCTGGGTGGCTCTGTCGGTTAAGCGTTCTACCTTTGATCTTGGTTCAGGTCATGATCTCAGGGTCATGGGATAGGGCCCCGAGCCCTGCGTCTGGCTCTGTGCTCAGCATGGAATCTGCTTGAGATTCTCTCTTCCTCTCTCTCTCTCTGCCCCTCCCCTTCATACTCTCTTTTTCTTAAATTTTTTTTTTTTAAGATTTTTTTTATTTGACAGAGACACAGCAAGGAGAGAACACAAGCAGGGGGAGTGAAAGAGGGAGATGCAGACTCCCTGCTGAGCAGAGAGCTGGATGCGGGACTCGATTCTAGGACCTGGGATCATGACCTGAGCCGAAGGCAGATGCCTAACAACTGAGCCACCCAGGCGCTCCCCTCTTTCTCTAGTAAGTTTTTATAAGTGTTCAGCACTAGGCAGCTTGGGTGGAGGCAAGCATGGGACCAGGGCCTCTAAGGAGGCTTGAAGCCACCAGATGGGATGGTTTTTCAGGTCGTCTAGCTGGCCCTGAGAAGGTGTGGTAAACTTTCTGAGCCTTGGTTGCTTCCTCTAGAGATCACACCCAGAAAGCTGTCAGAGATAACACAGTGGGTGCCTGGAAAGCTGCTAGCAGGCATTGGAGACAGGTGCTGTCAGGGACAGCGTTAGTGGTACCATTCGTGTCTTTCCAAACTCTCTCCTCTAAATACCAGCCCAACACCATCCCCTCCCCTTCCCTAGCCTGTCAGCTCTGGGAACACCCTGTGCCTTTGGATGCCCAGGGGCCCTGCTGGTATGGCCTCAGTGTGGCTTTGGGTCAGTGGCTAGCTGTGCACGGCTCAGACGAAACCTCCATAATCGAATGAAGTTCCCTGAGAGGGATACTTTTCTCCCACAGCTCTCCATCCTGCCGCACAGCCTTGTACGCAGACATTCCATGTACGTTTGTGGGTCAATAAGCCCAGGCCAGTGTGCAGAGGAGCCGCGGCTGTAACTAGAATGTGGTCTCTGCTTGGGATTGGAGGAGACCTTCTAAGCAGGGGAAGGGGAATCGTGGGGACCTCGCAACTAAACAGGATGAACGAATGGACCGTCAGGGGCAGCTTCCCGCTGGGTGTGCCAGACAGAGTGGCACCCCCACACTCATCCCAAACAGTGCGGGACCCTTGTCAGCAACCCGCAGCCAGCCTACAGCCTGGGCCCGCACTTCTGCCAGAGAACCATCAAGAAGCTTTCCAGTTCAAAGACTCCCAAAAAGTAAGGCTGGTTTCATGTTGCTTCTCCTTTATTAATTCAGTCTGTTCTACGTTGTACAGTTATGAAAATAACCGAACCGAAGGTGGAAGCCCAGGAATGTTGACGCTCTGTCTTGCGTAGTGAGGTCAGTCTATGTTGCCGCACAGATTCGTTATGTTTGGTACCACAAGATGTTTGTAATTCGGACAGAATCAGATTAACAGTTCTATGTACAGTAAAATAAAAGGGGAATTCATTCAAGTATCAAAATACAGAGACAAAGATTAAATAACATTTTTATTACAATTCAGTCCCATTGCCACCCCGTTAGCAACACCACTTCCGCGAGCTGCTTCCGACCGTCCTCTCGCAGATCTGGCCTCCCGAAGGCCGACTGAGGGCGGACCAGCTTTCTCCTGTCGGTGCAGCAGCCACCACGTCTGCGGCCTGCCCAGCCAGAGGCTTCTGGAGGAACTCCCGCCAGAATCTGAGGCTAGAGACCCAGGAGGGCGGCAGAGCCTGGCAGACATGCAGCCTGGCAGTAGGGTTCCTATGGCTCGGAGCGGCTGGCAATAAGAAGGGAGGCAAGCAGAGAAGCCGGGTCTGGGGAAGGTACGACTCCCTCACAAGGCTGCCCAGAGGGGCCCTGCACAGCTCAGACCCTGCCTCCGAACGCGGGTGTGGGACCAGGCGGCTTTTCTGCTCGAAGCCTGTCCTTGAAATCACACCACCCTTTTCGAAGGGAGAGAGAGTACCTGCCCCGGGGAGAAGTAAAAAGGAAAGAAAAAAAGATCCAGTCCCTACCCTTCTCAGCTATCCAGAAATAAACCAATCTCAAAAGCAAACCCAGAGCCAGCACAGACTAGCCAAGGCCTTCCAATATGACAACACCCTGAATAAATAAAGATATAGCAGCTTCAAGGGGAGGAAACACCTACATGTGATTTAAAAACAAAAAGGCAGCTCGAGCAGCTCATCGTAGTGTCTACAGTTTGCTTTTTGGACCTGCCGACCCCCCGAGAGGAGAGGCGTGCTTAGCTGAGGCCAGGCCCCCCCTTGTTAGGGGAAGGAAGGGTGCTGACCCCTCTGGTTCCCTGGTCGATTCTCGCGGGTCGGCAGGGGCAAAACGTGTGTGGTGTGAGCTGGTGGGAGGCTCCCGGGCTTTGGGAGAAGCAGGAAGTGAAGCCAGACTTCAGGCGTTGAGGTCCTGGTTTAGTACCGGGAGGTGGGGGTTCCCTGGCCCTGCTCCAGAGAGGAGGCCCAGTCTCAAGGCAGCAGGAGGATGGCGGGCTTTCCCTTTTCTGGCCACCACAGGGCGGTGAGTGTGCCCAAGAGCTCTCTCCGCGCACCCAACCCACAGGGAATTTCAACTCACAGCCTTTGCTGAGAAGGAAGTCCCGCCAAAGCCTGGCACGTGGGGGCTGGGAGCAGCCCGCCCCATGCCGGCAAAGCATGAGACCTGCTGCTGAGTTGGCCATGGAGGAAGGGCTCCTCTCTGCTCCCTACCCTGGAAGGGGCTGGGCCAGCAGTGCAGCCGGCTCTGCCCCTCAGCCTCACAGCAGTTACCCTGTTGGCTTCCACCGCCCTCAGGAGCACAGAGCAAGAGTCCAAGTTAACAAGTGAAGCAAGCCAGCAGGAGGCCTTAAGTGGCAGTGGTGCGCCAGGGCCCCAGCCTGCCCTGAAGGCAATGCCGGGGGAGAACCGAATCCACGGTCCCCTTACTTAGCCTTCTCTACACCTGGAGCCCGGGATGAATCCAGCAGCCAAAAATAAAACAGTCAAACTAGTAATTCAGAGAATCAAAGCGAATCCTAATCACACAGACCTGATTAGACAAATCACAAATCGGCAGGCAGCCGTCTTAGCTGACCTACCCATTAATGCCCAAAACAAAGCTGCTTTTTCTCCTTTCTGACCGAACACAGGCAGGTCTGAGGCCGCCCACGAGTGTGTGGGCCGGCGCCCTGACCACCGCCCGGCCTGGGCGCCAAGGAGCGGCCCAGACTGTGCGGCACCAGGAACAGCTCCCTCAGCCCTGTCTGGCCCGCGCGCCTTCACATTTGGAACCCCGGGAATGGCCCGGGGGTCTCTGCTTTTGCCAGGTGCCTCTGAGGCTGTTCTTATTGCAGAGGTGGCATTCGGCTCCGAATGGGGACAGAAGTTGTGCAGTTCGTAAGGAACAGCAGCAACCGACTTGGCTGGGTCTGAAAGCAGACTCGAACAACCCCACTCCCGTCTGCCCACCTGGGCCTGCTTTCTCTTCCCTCATAGGCTGCTGCCTCCCCTGCAACCTACCGGACCGCGCCAGCAGCCCGTGCCAGGGACGAAGGCTGTGCAGACCGGCCTCGGAGCCGCTCTCGGGCCCCCTGTCCTCCAATCCCGAGGCCATCTGTCTAAAGATTGGCAGTTTAACCTAGAGGTTTGAGCCAAGTCTTAAAAATTCATTTTATAGAAATTTTTTTTCTAATAAAAAATGTCTTCTGGACAAGTCAATTCTTGACTCTCTGGAAGTTTCCAGTTTCCTCCGCTCAAGGCCTGGCGTGTGGCTTGCTCTGTAAGACCTGGTGGTGGCAGGTCCAGGCCAGGCAGCCCCAAGGAGCTGCTCCTGGCAGAGGCTGGGCCTGGGTCTTCAAAGCTGCAGGTGACACAGTGGTGGCGGTGGTGGTGGTGGCGGCGAGAGCCTGTGCTCCCCACGTCTGTGTTTCCGCAGCACAGTTGGTTCCTCAGTGGCTCAGCTTGGCAGAAGCAAACACAATGGGGGGAGGAAAGGGTTAACCACAGGGGCCTTCACGGGGTGGAGGGAACTGAAAGGAAGCATGGAAGCCAAGGAACATCCCTCACAGCCTCCCCCAGCACCTGTGGCTCAGCACGGCTGCTCTTGAAGGCACGAGGCCAGGCCGGCGGGCAGGAGCACCCACCCTACGCTACCACCTTGGGCTGCGCCTCTCCAGGAACTGCTGGAGCACCTGGCTTCCCTATGGGCCTACACGGAGCTGCCGCTTGCCTGTCTCCTGCCATCTGAGCTCCTCGGCCCTCCCCAGACACTGGGGGGCTTCTTCAGAGCCTCAGCTCCAAGATCCCAGCTGGCGGACTGTCCCCCTCAGGGGACTCAAGAGGTGGAGGGGGGTTGACTATCTCCGGCCCCCACACCGTGGAGCAGTGTTGGAAAGCCCCCCGGAGGACAAGGTGGGAGCTGCTCAGTCCGGGTTCCTGTCCTGGAGCAGCTCCGTGCTGTGAGGGAAGAAGGGGCCGTGTGCGCACAGGGCACAGGCCTCCCTCGCGCTGGCTGCTACAGAAAGGCCTTCCTCCTCGGTTGAGCTAGACTCCAGAAACAGCCTCATTACGCCCTGGAGAAGACAGGGGTGGCCGACCGCACACCAGCCATCCCTTTCCTCGGAGTGGAAGCCTCAGCGGGACCGAGACCTGCTCAGGGAAGCCAGCCTGCAGCTGTTGAGATGCTCAGAGCTCCAGGCTGTGGAGTCAGGCACGTGCCTGAGGACCTCGGGCCCTCACAGAACGCAGTGTGAGCCTAGGTGAGCCGCGCCGCCCAGCTCGGGCTCTCGCAGGAGGGAGGCCAGCACCTGACGGCAGAGGACAGAGGATTGGGGCCTCAGGCCAGCCACGAGCGGAGAGCAAGGGGATTCTGGCACCGGGTGGTCACAGTGGTTGGTTGTATCAGGAAAGGTGCAAAAAGTTCACTCTTGGCAGCGGCACCCAGCTGCGGCTCAGCGCAGAAGCCGGGAGAGGAGAGCAGACCAAGAGCCCAGCCTAGTCAGAGGGAGCGGTCACGGGTGCTGTCTGGCTCTGCTCGAGGGCTGCCCCCCGCCCCAGGGTTCACAGTGCCTGCCCGCTGAGCCCTCCTGGTGCCCACTTGGAAGACAACTCACACCCCCACCCCCGCCAGGCTGTCCTTGCCCAAGGGGGGACTTCACAGTGTCCGGTGGTGTTGGGTACGAGCTGTGAGTGTGGTGTCTAGAGCGGCTGCCGGCAGGGAGAGCAGGGCCCCCCAGGGCTGGGGCCTTGACGTCAGCAGCCGGAAGGAGAGCTGAGAAGAGCAGAGGTCGGATGGCAAGGCACAGTGAGACTAGTGGAGACAGGGAGTGAGCGGTTAGAAGATAGTGGTCTCATACTTGGTGCTGAGGCTCCGCTTAGAGTCCGGTTTAGGGTCCACAACCCAGGAGACGCTGGCATGGGACTGGGCATCTGGGTCCGTATCGGGTGGTTCCAGCTGCCAAGGAAGAAGGGTGAGGGCTCAGAGAGGGAGCACCGTGCCTGGCCAGGGGGCAACAGGGCCCAGCTGTCCCTTCTTTCTGCGCAGGGCTGTGCTGGTGTCGTGCCAGCATGAGGGACATGAGGGGCAGCCCTGGTTCTCCTCAGAGAGCAAGCCCCCTAGGGCTGATATGCAAGAGTGGCACCCTCCCCAGAGCATCATAGGAACGCCACCTCCGGGCCTCTTTAGGGTTGACTTATCCCAGGGGCTTCTCAGAGCTGCTCAGGTAAAGGAGCCTTGACCGACCCAAGCATCGTGCTCTGAGCCCCAAACCTGTTCATGGTGCCAGGAAGGGGGGACGGGGCTGGGAAACCCAAGCCTCTGGGTCCCTTGGGCGGGGCGTGCGGGCGCACCCCGGGCCTCTGCAGAGAAGACACACAGAGAAACAGCTAAAGCACAGATAGGGATGGCAGGAGGGTGGCTCAGGAAAGAATGTCACGTGGGGTGGGGGAGGCTACTAGCGTCTCAGAAAGCTCACGGTCACTTCAGGAAGACTGACACACAGACAGCAGGAGGTGTAAAGACCTTGACTCCAGGACTAACAGACGGCAGCGGTAGGTAAGAAGGACGATGGGTGGTGCAGGTGTGACAGTGACAACAGCGACTATCGGGGGGCGGCGGCACCTGGGGTGCAGAGCAAAGCAGACACAGACATGGGGTGGAGTTACTGGGTGCTCACTGCAGGCCGGGGCCCGGGGGCGCCTGGCAAGGGAGGGGACTGAAGCCCGAGAGGCACAGGAAAGGCACTGACAGCCGGTTCCCTCCCGGTGCCCGCTCCACCCCAAGCCCTCGAAGCCCAGGGGGTAGGAGGGGGTCTGGGCGCCTGGGGCCCACGTACTGCTGACTTCCTCGTGCCGACCCGAGGCTTAGGCACCGGTTTGGAAGATTTTGTTTCAATCATCTCAGCGGTGGAAGGCCCCAGGGAGCGGGACTTCTGGGCCTGCAGGGCCAGCTGATAGGCCACCTCGAACGCCTGGCCCAGTGTCAGGATGATCTCGTAGGTCAGATTCTGGGAGGAGACAGAGCACGACTTCAGCACTGAGACCGAGGAGCCACCTCACCCCTTTGCTCGAACCCCTGCAACCTCCCCCCCGCCCCCCTCAACCAGGCCTCACGGCCCTGAGCACAGTTCCGGGGCAGGGGGCACCTGGATGGCTAACGAGAGAGTGGTCAATTCTGCCAGGATACTTGTTTTCAAAGCACTGCTTTGTCCCAAGGTGACTGAGATATTAGGGAACAATCTGAGCGTCACACACATTTTGTTTCCCCTGCAATGTCAATGTGGACACAAACACCAGGGGACCCGGCAGCTCGGCTTCCCCTCCCGTGGTGCTGTCCCTCTCCCAGCCCTGAGCTCCCCTTCCCGCTCCGGGCTCTCTCAGGGGGAGGGGGCCGGCCTGACTGTCATAGCTCTGACTTTCTTAACCACTGCCCAGGAACAGCAGCGCCAGGGTTTGCTAGGTTCCTCTCTTTCAACGTGTCACTGAGCAAGTTTCTGAGTATGGTGCCCCCAGCCCCATCTCCCCACAAACCTGGCTTTTACTGCGTGATTTTGTGTAACATGTTCCTCTTTGGGAGTACATATGTTGTGTTACAGCAGAAGTGACTGTGGAAAGTGGGAGCTCTAGCTCACAGTGCCAGGAGCTACGAGTATAGGGCAGATGACCCCATTCACCTTCAAAACCAACCCCACGAAGCTGGAGCCGGGGACAATGACTTTCTAAGACCACACAGACAGCAAGTGGCAGAGCCAGGAGTCTGACGCTAGGCCCGGAGTAAGCATGGATTTCCTGGGGCTGAGAATGCCTGGCCGTCTGTGCCCCAGAAGCCACAGGGATTTGGCAACAAGCTACTGTCCCCCGGGACAGCAGGGATCTGGATAGAAGCCTGGGGCTGAGGAGAGGGCCTGGGGCCTTGTCTCAGGGTAGGGGCAGTCCCTGTGGGCCCAGCCGGAGTGTGAGTGTGGGAGAAAGCAGCCTCCTATCAGGAAGGCACTGCTGCCCCCAAGGAAGGTAGAGGGCATTTCAGGGAGACTGTCCTTTGAGGGTCCCAGGGGGGCATGGTGGGTTGACAAGCAGCCTGGGGGAGGGAACCCCTGACCAGAACCATAGAGGAGCCGCCTAGTTAGCTGCCTGTTCTCCTCTGTGCTTCAGTCTCATCTGTACAGGACTGGCCCAGGGGCACCTGGGGGGCCAGTTGGTTAAAGGTCTGCCTTCGGCTCAGGTCATGATCCCAGGGTCCTGGGATCGAGCCCCACAATGGGCTCTCTGCTCAGTGGGGAGTCTGCTTCTCTCCCTCTCCCTCTGCCCCTCCCCCCAGCTTGTGCATTCTCTCTCGTTCACTCTCGCTCTCTCTCAAATAAATAAAATAATTTAAAAAATAAAAAATAAATAAAGGGAACGGGCCCAGACAGTTGCTGGGGCCTCGGCCCAAACCAGACATGAGCCAGGTGCCACCCACGTGCTGGGATGGCAGGTCCCCTCCCTTGGTGCCCAGCTGCAGGGCTCCACCCACCACATCCACCGTGCTGAAGACATGGCAATAGTGGTGGCTGGTCTGCAGATCCTTGGTGATGTAGGCAAAGGTGCAGAGGTCCTCTGGGTCCTGGGCTGCACAGGAAATGTTCCGAATCTCATGCTCCGCAATGACATTCTGCTGGGGAAAGCAGGGTCTGGAATTCTCAGCCCCAAGGCCCACCTCAGCCCATTTACACCGCCACCACCACCGCCACCTTTTCCCAGTCTGGGCTGTTAGCCCAAGGCCACTGCTTCTCTTGTTCGGTGGGCACAGGGGCAGTGTCTAGCCTTGCCAGCATAGGTTTAGGGCTCTCCGCCCTTAACCATGGCAACAGAGGGCGCCAAATGTTCACATCTGACCACCAGCTCTCCAGCCCCTCCGCCCTCCAGGGTGGGGACAAGGCAGGTGAGGTACCAAGGGTGGGGCATGGGGGGAGTCCTTTGCTCATGAAGAGAATCACACCACCAAGGGCCCGAGAACAGGTAAGAGGGCTGATGGAACCCATGCTCAAAGAGACCAGGGGCGCCTGTCACTAGGGCAGGGCCCCGGGATCAGGATGTTTGGTGACTGAGAGCCAAGCGCCTGGCTGAGGGGGTAGGAGTGCAGAGGAACAGAGAGGGCTGCAGACACTCTAGGCAGCCTAGAGGAGGCGGTGGGGAGAGGGTCCCCTCCCGCTAACAGTGCTGTGAGAAGCACACCTTGTTGGAGGCATCGATGAACTTGACACCTTTGTATGTGATGGACAGGATGATAGTGGGGATCTTCTTCATGTGCTCGGTGGATTTCTAGAGGAAACACGGAGTAGGCCTGTGAATGCCCCTTCTTAAGGCCAAGCCCCTCGGATCCCACAGGCCCCAGCCTCCCCCTGACCTTACATAGCGTGGGAGGGCCCATGGGCTGCAGCAGGCGCCCCGTTGATGCCTCCCATCCCCACCAAATGCCCACACGCCAGCACACACCCAGACAACCTACCCGCATCTTTGCACAGGCATCCTGTGTGGATTCTGTCCCTCGAAGATCTTTGATCAACATGGAGCCCAGATACTGAGGGTATAGGCAGTAACTGGGCTTAGGACGTCCTGCCTTACCAGGCGGGGGGACCCAACCAATTGGGACCATAGTCAGGTGGATTCCTCTCCTAACTCCCTTCCCCGACCCTGGCTGGGAGGCCCTCCTGTCCCCTAGGTGCTGGGGGTGTCCGAGGAGTGGAGAACAGCACTTGAGGCCTGAACCTGGCCAGGAGGGGTGGGCGACAGGGAGGCTAGCCAGGCGGGGAGGGCAGGGGCAACTCACGTTGGCTTCATAACCGCAGGACTCGAAGATGAGTTTCTCTGGCTGGTGTTGCCAGCTCTGCACTGGGGCGTAGGGGGCAGCCAGGCTGGGGGGCCGGAGGGTCAGTTTGGCTTCGCGCTGCTCTTCCTGTAGAACACGTGGGGTCACAGGTGCGCCTGCCCATTTCAGAGGAACTCAGGGCTCCAGCACACCCAAGGGCCAGGAAGCCCACTACAGGGGTTCAAGGGCAGGAAACAAAAAGTCAAGCAGATGCACTGGGGGCGGAGGTGAGGCCCACCCACGCCAGAGGGAAGGCGGGGAGGCAGGAATCCAGACCCCCTAAGGGCAGGCTCAGTGGGGAAGGCTCTAAGGTAGACAGGACAGGACCAAGACCAGAGAGGGGAAAACAAGCACGGAGCACCAAAAATGGGGAGCAGAACCTAGGTCCGCAGAAGCCTTGTATACCAAGTCTGGGGCCCTGGAGCTGGTTCTGGGTGGGGCAGTTGTTCCAGGAGGGAGCTTTCTATACTGTTCCCTGAGGCTGCCGCTGGGTGGGGGCAGGGGGGCAGGAGGCCACTGAAATCTAGGCCAGGTGATGGGGGCCTTCACCAGTTGGGAAGAATGGGGAGACAAGAAGAGTCAGGAAATTATGACTTCCATTTCTAGCACTGTGCGGGAAGTCTTCGGCTACGGAGCGACTAAAGCGGCTGGACAACATGCTTTTCGTATCGTGACATTCACGGCTGTGCCCATGGAGAGGTGAAGGACACCCCCAAGTGCTGGAGGTGAGTGTAACTCAGGAGAAAAAAAGCAGTGAAATTAGAGTTCCCGGGGTGGCAGGGGGGCGGTGAGGGAAATGTGTCGATCTTGTGTCCAGTAGGCCAATTTGGAGGACCAGACGCAAAGCCGGGAGCCTATGTGCAAGGCAGGAGGCCCGGCAGACGAATACATCAGGAGGCCGGAATGCAAGGCCCTGAGAAGGTGATCGAGGACTGCAGGCTGGGGCCAGCCCAGGGCCTAGCAGAGGCTGTGTGGGGGGAGGGGAACGGCCTTTAGGAAGGCAGACAGCATGGCTGGATAGGTCTCCTAGCTGCATCCCATGCTGGGCTGCAGAAATGCAGCAGGAAGAACCAGAGTCTGACTCGGGCCCTGGTTCTGTGGGGCAGGCGGGGTGCGGGGAGTGGAGTCCAGGATGGGAGAAAGCCGCTCTGTGGAACAGGCAGGGCAAGCAAGCTGAGTGGGGCAGAAACGGGGCTGGTATGTAGAGGCTGAGATGCAGGGGAGGCCCTCCCAGGGAGGGGAGGAAGCAGGGTCCTCCTCCTGTTGGTGATCCAGGCACCTGCAGTTCAGTGGCCTCCTATCCCCTCTCCCCCATGCCAGCTGCCAACTCAAGGGACACAGGGGCAGTGAAGGGGTCTGGGGACCCCCATTCATAGCTCCCCCCTGGCCCCACCTGGATTCGGAAGCGCTCGGCTCGAGAAGGTGCCGCAGGGTCATGAAGACTGTCGTGCCGCCTCCTGCCCGTGTCCCCTGGAGGCAGTAGCAAGTCTGCAGAGCGGCCGGTGCAGGAGTCATTCTGGCTCAGTGGGGACGACGTCTGGGAGAGCAAGTCCTGGCACTGCAGTGGGGAGAAATCCAGGGAACACTTGGAACCCAGGCGGCCAGCCCCTGGATTATGGGTGTCAGCTAGCCCTGGGGCTGCCCAGGGCCCAACAGGGGCAGGTGGGTCAGTGAGAAGGGACACGGAGCAGGCACCAAACGGACGGCACACTGACCCACAAGCCTGCGGGGAGACCCCGGCCGCGGGGCCAAAGCCACCAAATTCTTCCCCAAGCCAGGAAGCCCCGGTGATCCAGTCCTGCGCGCACGCAGCCACCACGGGCACCACCACGTCCCTTGCACACTCCTCGGCCTGGAGCCGTATGGGAAAGAGGAGGTTACAGGGCTGGGAAGCTGCTTTGCTGTTCATCAAAGATCACATCATCTGCCGTGATTCACTGCCGCTCCCTGGGCACGTGACCAAATCCAGAGCCCTTTCTTGAAAAAATACACAGCGCTGCCCATCGGCACCCCGAAATCCCATCGCCTCAGTTTTTATGCCAAGTGTCAGCGTTTCTTGGCCCCTCAGTGTCACAGGGGCTGCCGGGTGAGAGGACGGAGTGATGCCCTCCAGGTGAGGCGGCTGTAAGCAGGTGGAGCCTGGGGGCCCTGCTTGGAGCCCCGTGCCCGTCAGGGGCTCGGCTCACAGGCTCGGGCGGAGCTGGTCCCAGGCCTCAGCTCCACAGCTGGGTGGGGTCTAATCTGCAGTCTGAGGTCAGCCGCCAAGCCACAAAGCATCTCGAACCCACCCAGAGAGGCTTTTACTTCAGAAGACCTAGGGAGGGCGCAGGTCCTGCCATGGAGCTCCAGCTTTGCCCTCTGTCCGGGTTCCCCGCAGGCTGCCCCCCACTGTCCCTCGCTGCCCCCCTGGCTCTGCCCACCCGGCTCTGCCCCCCGCCCCCGCAAGCAGTGGCTGGGATTCGGATATTTTTTCCCTTTTCCTGACTTGTTACTTTCTACTTAAACTGGAGTCTTTATCAGAGGTGCCACCGGGTTTCTCGGATGCAGGCAGGAGGCACATAATCGATACATAACCGGCCCAAACAACTCCTGCTCGGTGTTGCTCGCACTCTCCGGGCCCTGGGGGCACACTGGCCCCAACGACAAGAGGGGACAGATCGTTCCCACCTCTCCTATGGAGGTCATGCTTTTTCCAAAGAATGCCTCAAGCAGTCTCTAATTCCCGGCAACATGAAGAACACACTGAGCCCTTTCCATCCCTGCCCCACTCACTCTCAGCTGGGAAAACCGAGGGGGCTTCTGAGGCGGCTCCTCGTATGGTCTGTCTGCCAGGGAGGCGATGATGCGCTTGCGGTGGCCGAGGAGATGGACCTTCAGCACCTGGATGGGGGTGGGGGTGGGGGAGGGTGATCAGGCCGTGCCTGTGCCCATAGCCCCCCACCCGCCCCGGACCGCTCCCTGGGGGCCAGGCTGGGCCTGAGCACAGGCTGCACTCACGTTGACAAGCTCCAGTTCCCAGAGGTTCTTCACAGTGTCAATAGAGCTGTAGCCGCTGGACAGGAAGGAATGCACATAGTCCTGCAGCCCCAGGGAGTCTAGCCAGGAGGGTACTGATGGGGCACTGCTGCCGTCACAGCCCAGCGCTTTCACCTGTGGGGCGAGAAGGGTCAGGACTGACAGCTCAGCCCTCCTGGGGCTACAGCCAGGAGACCAGGCTCCCCTCCCTTCATACAGCCCTTTCTGCGGCTGCCTGGTCTCAGCACCCCCACCTGTGAGGTGGGGCCCCCGCAGCCCTCCAGGCCTGAGGAAGACAGCCCCAGTGGGTACTGCTGGATAGGAGGGAGGGTTCACAGAGGGGCTCCCACTGAGCGCTGACAAGATCATGGACCTGGTGAGACAATATGGTGTGTTCCTGTGAAGTGGGCAGTGGCCTCACTGTTGGGACTTGTTCGTGCTTCTTGAGCTCTGGGGTGAGTGGAACAAACAAGGGTACAAGGACTTTCCAGGGCCAGCAGAGTCAAGTGGAGGGGCTGGGGATACCAGCCCCTGGCTCCCCAGGCGAGAGGCCTATGGCCTCCCTCTGGAGCCCAGACTGGGTCCTCAGCAGTCCCTAGTCTCTGCTGACTCGTTGGGGCCTCAGGACACAGCAGGACAGTAAACAGACCTCTGTGCTGCCTGCTGGGTCCCCCAGGATGTGGGGCAGACCCCTTGCAGTGATCCACATGCCCCGGAGCCAGGCTCCTTCCCTGTTCGGGGTCCAGGCGGGGTCGGGAGAGGGCCCTGGCTTCAGCCGAGGCTACAGAGCCATCAGTGCTTAGTTACCTTGGGCAGGGATCGCGCAGCCTGGAGCAGCTTCCGCCGGTGCTGTGGGTCACTGATGCCGATCTCCCGCAGGTCTTGCTCTTCCATCACGTTAGACCCCTGAAAGCAAGAGAGAGCGACGTGAGCACCCTCCTGAGCTGGGGGCCGGTGGAAGCCTCTCATGGCCCCTCACCAAATTCTTCCTCTCTACGCTAAGCATCGAGGGGTACAGAGAGCCTGGGCTCCCTCGGACAAATCTGCCCAGACAGCCCACTCCTGCCTGAGTGGCTCCTAGGCGAGCTGGCCAGCACCGGGGCTCCAAGCAGACAGGGCTGGGGCACGCAGGGTGCCCAGCCCCAGGTGCATCCGCTCCTCTGGGGGGCAGGTCCACAGCCTCAGAGATGAAGCACAGGGGGATTCTCCAAGCCTCCTCACAGACCTGCTTTCCTGACTTGAACGCCAAAGCAGCCGCGTTAGGTGATCTGCCAAGGAACTAGACTCATCCCAGGGAGAGAAGTCCCAAAGCAGAAATGTCAGAAAAAGATTTCTGGCTGGCCCGGGAGCTGGGGAGCGCCAGAGCTGGACCACTGAATGTGATGGGGCGGGGGGCTGTTGCCCCTGCAGGCTGGCCTGCTGACAGCACCCCAGGGATTTGACTCAGACCACCCCATTTCACGCTCACGACTAGGGGACTGTCTTCACCCCCGTTTTCTAGGTGAGGAAAAAGAGGTATACGGGTCAGGACTGTGCCAAGGCTGCGCGTCGGGCGGTGGTGCTCAGATCTGGCTGCTTCCTGCCCACCAACCTCTATGATGTTTTATTCCTCACAGGAGTGTCTCCAGGTAGGTTTTATCTGACTATGATCCACGAGAACTCAGAGGTTCTGCCCTGCTTTCAGCCACAGCGTGTCCTCATAGGCAACTTAACTGCCTTCCCAGCTGTCCCTCCTGAGCCAGCTTCCTGTTCCCACAAACAGAATTTTTGCACACGTTTGACACCTATTCCTAGGACTTAATACACAGACATATCTCAGAATTATTCCGAGTTCAGCTGCAGACCACACCAATAAAGGATATATTGCTATAAAATGAGTCAAATGAATTTTTTGCTTTCTTACTGCTTATCAATGTTACGTGTACACAATACTGCAGTCTGTTAAGGGTGCAATAGCATTATATCTTAAAAAAATACATACCTTAATTACAAAATACTGCTAAAAATGCACCATCTGAGCTTTCAATGAGTTATAATCATTGATCTCAGATCACCATAAAAAATATAATAATGAGGGGTGCCTGGGTGGCTCGGTTGTTAAGCATCTGCCTTCAGCTCCAGTCATAATCCCAGGGTCCTGGGATCAAGCCCCACACTGGGCTCACTCTCAGTCTCTCTCAAATAAATAAAATCTTAAAAAAGTATGTAATAATGAAAAAAGTTGAACTATTGCAAGAATCACCAAAATAGGACACAGAGACATTAAATAAGCAAACAGTGCTGGTAAATGGCCTTGACAGACCCGATCGATGCAGGGTCACCAGAGACCTTCACTTTGCAAAAAATACAGTTTCTTCCAAGTGCAAAAGGGAAATGCAATAAAATGAGGCATGCCCGTATCCAGGACACTGCCCTGCCACCTGTACAGGTAGACCCGCCTCTTTTCATCAAAGCTGCCTGATCATCCAGGTTAGGGACATATGACAAATTATTTAACCAGTTTCTCACTGAAGGAGGTCTATTTCCCATTTCAGCTCTGCACACAGTACTGCACGAATACCCTCGTCTGTGTGTCATTTCTAGGACGGTTATTCAAGAAAGACTGCTCAGTCAGAGGGTATGTGCGTTCAGGAGTCTAACACATACTTATTCTCCCATCAGTGATATGAGTGCTAGATTCCTCCCACGGTCAGCAACAGGGCAGGAAAATGGCTTATCACCATATTTCTTATCATAAGAGCATCCCACCCATAGGGCCCCTCCCCCATCTTTTCAGGTTTTATGGGTCAAGTATTCACACAGCAATTCCCACCCCATTCCACAGGCTTGATACTCGCTAACCTGCTTAATAAAAGGGACTACAGTTACCCCTACTTCACAGCTCAGGTAGCTGAGGCCCAAACAGGAATAACCTGGAGGAGGGCCCTCAAACGTAAGCTTGGAGCCGGAATCCGGCCAGGTGCTCCTGTCGGTACACTCTAGGGCCACAGGCTCGGGGAGCGTCGTAGCTCCTTTTCCAGGAATTACCCCTTTCCAGACTGTGTGTGTTTATGCAGGTGCTGATCTTTTCTGTGTTCCATATGGAGAAATTCTTTATAAAGTAAGGAAATGAACACCTTTTTATCTGTCAACAGAGTTAGACAATTGTTTCTTCCAGGTCATTTCTCTTGACTTTCCTGCTGGCTTTGTTCCAAACGGAAATGGACTGGTCTGTACCTTGTAGAGCTTCCCTCAGTTCTGTCAGGCTTAGAAAGACCTCCCCTCGCCAAGATTTTTAAAAACAATTCTTGCATATTCTCCTGCTATAATTTTAGTTTCTTTTCTTACAATTAAATCTTTTATCTATCTGGAAATTTTTTTTTTTTAATGTATGGTTTAAGGGTTAGGATCCAGTTAATTTTTTTTCTAGGCGGCAAGTCCATTTCTCGAATGAGCTATCTTTCCCCTACCAATCTGAGATGACCTCTGATGTGTCCTAAATTCCTGTTTTTCTGGGACTCTTTCTGTACTTTCTATTCTACTGAGGTGGGTATTCCTTATGCCCAATTTACAGATGGAGAAGTTGAGTAACTCGTGCCACCTCATGCAGACCATCACTGGTGGCCTTACCTTTGTACCCGAGCTGCAGTGAACGCTGGCACAGTAGCCTTCCCAGGGCCTGTACGTGGTAACCAAACCTTTGTCCCACAGAGGACGCCTCCTAAGCTGTAAGCTCCAGGGAGCCCAGGCAGAGAAAGCCAGGGTGGCAGCTCTCTCTGCTCAAGCCGCAGAAGGCCCTCTGCGCCGAGGGTACCCCTCCAGGTCTGAGACCAGCTCCTCGGTCACCCCGAACCCAGAGTCATCACCTGGAGTTCCCGCAGTCCTGCGGGCCCAGATGTAGGGTATGTGGATGGGAAAGGCAGCAAGGGGAGGCCACCTGCACAGACACCCTTCCCGAGGATGAGGGCACGAGTGGGACCTGCGCTGAACGGAACAGCACACCCTGGCAAGTTTCTGAAGTCCTACTGCAGCCCCAACATTTACTCCCGACCCTTCGCAAGCTTTTTGGGCAACATTAGTACTGAACTGAGAGCTGACAACCAGAAAGCCCAGATCCAGCTGGACAGTGGGCCTTCATTACCCAGTTAGGAGGAGGGGTGGTGGCGTGGTGTATGCGGCTGTGAGGAGACAGAGGCAGAGGGAAACAAAGGAAAACCAAAGGATGTGATGGAAAATCAAAGCAGGGAGCCGCCACAGCATGTCCTGGGAGCAGGCAGGGTTTCCTGACTTCCTGCATGTGCCACATCATCCTCTTGGATCAGCTTGTGTGGGGACTATAAGGTGCTCTAAACCCTCAAAGGGGAGAAACATTCTGGAAGTTTCCACACCCTCTTTACTAAAGGGAGAATGGGACTGCTGCCTTTTAGAACCATCTTCATGAGGAGGGCAATGGGGGAAGAGAGACCTTCTACTTTACCTTTTACCACACCGATGTTTATACCAAGGGCTACTTTTGTCCCAGAGCTAAGAAAGTAGAACAGCTCTTTGGCCTAAACATTTCAGTGACTAGAATTTTCCTCAGATTAAAAAAGAAGTGTCTGAGTGTAAGAGAAATCTGAAACACATAAGTAGTCAACACTCAGCCAGTTGGGTTCAGTTCCTGAGGAAGGGAGGATAGGAGGACAGAGTGTCAGGGCATCCCCATCCAGGTTCTGCTTCAGCCCCCGCTGTCCTGTCAGCCCGTGCTCACAAGAACCTGGAGGGCGCTGACCCTGTGCCTCACTTTGCAGGCCAGGCCTCAGGCTTCATGGCCAGTGGTGGTGCCGGGATCCTACCTTCTGGGCCAGGGCCCACTCTCTAGACATCCAGGGAAGAGCACAGCCAGTGGTCCTCAGGGTCACTATGGGTAACAAGAGTTCCCTTTGTGGGGGAGATGACAGGCAAAGGTGCCAGTGATATGGGTCCTGACCACGTCCTGGCACTGTGCATTCATCCTTTGGAAAAAACTCTCTGAGATAGGAACAGCCTGATAATACAAAGGCTCACAGAGCAGAAGTAACTTATCCAAGGTCACAGAACTTGTGAGTGACAAAGGGACAGTTAGACCTCTATCTCATGCTCCAGGCTCTCTCTACTTGCTTAGCTGGGAGTCTGCTGTAGACAAAGCCAACTGTGGAAGCTACAGCAGCAGCAGCCTGAGACCAGGGCAGGGAATCCATCCCAGTGCTGGGGCGCACTTGGGCTCTGGGACTAATACCCCTACCGCGGAACCTTCCTCCCACTACCTGCTCTCCACCTCAGGGGCGGGGCAGGATTTCCTTTTTACTGGTACAGAATCCCAACTCCTAGCACCTCATGGGTCCCTGGAGGGTGCTAAGAGTTGAGGAGGGCAAGGCTTGCCGAGGCCTCACAGTGAGGGAGAAGCGGGGTCCAGATATGGCCCAGGCCTCGGCATACAAAGCCCAAACACTGGGCCCAGAGCTCTCAGCACCAAGGGGCCTGGAGCAGGCTGAGGTCGGCCTGCCCGAGCTCAGGGCAGGACAGCATGAACCTGCTCAGGGGACTGGCTTGCACAATCACACACCATCATTCCTTGGCGCCCTTCCTCGAGAAGGCATAACCGAGAAGCCGTGCCTGTTGTGGCAGCTATAATTAGTTTTACTTTCCATAGGCACGGTTTCCCCTTCCTGCCAGTATCTGCCATTGGGCCTCACTCATGGGCGCAGAATGTGGTACCTCGAGCAGTGGCTTATCAGTGCCAAGTGGGGTTTCCGAGGGCCAGAGTCTGGGCCTGGCTCAGTGGATATGTGGACAGTGGGGAAGAGGGAGGCCTGCAGCCAGGGGCCGCGGGAAGGACAGAGCGTGGACAGCAGGACCTGCCCCCGGGAGTGCAGGGGAGAGCCCGGCAGAGGCAGAGGGAACGGCTG